ATTTTACTTTTATTTGTAATGTACATTCTTTCTTAAGTATTCAAGTTTTATTAGTTTCCAAGTTTCAATTATGGTTTTTGTTCTTATTTATTATGCTTATAAGTTAATATGCTAGTTTGAATGATTGATCACCATTTAGGCTTGCATGTTAGCTATCTTGGTTTGAATTAAGAGTATACACCATGCTTTAATTCGAATTGAACTATGAGTAGGAAGAGTATGTATGGACATTCGACAACAGGGATTAGATACATACTTGGTTGTTTAAATTGTTCTTCTATGCTTAATGGGTTCCTAATGCTTAGTTTTAGGTTAGACAACAAATGATCAAATTAGGGAATTAGGAACACAAGGTTATGACCAAACACCATGGCTTAATCATACTTTAGCTAGAATCAATCCGTTAATCTAATTGAACTTGGGAACTTATTTGCTTGAGTTATTTCCTTTTTTCTTGTTTTATTTATTTTCTTTTTCATTTCTATTTTGTGTAGGGGAAATGAATTGGATCATTCAATCACCAATCCTCGTGGGATCGACCTCGCACTTACATATGCTATACTACCAAACGGCTCGTGCACTTGCGAGTATCACAAGTTGAGGATGCAGTTGAAACCATGTTGGTGCAGCTGAATCGAAGCAACACCCATAGTGTTAAAAAATTTCAAACCGAACCAAACCAAACCCAGCTATACTCTAGCCTATGTTGCTCATATTTATATACAAAGATTATTTTAGGTACCCTCATTAAGCAGGACGTGTTCCCAATAAAAATGACATATAATCACATAGACTTGTTCACAAGCCAAGCCAAAGAAAAAAAAAGAAAAGGGAAACAAAGGAATTCTAAAAAGGCCTAAGCTTTGGCACAGCAAGAAGAGGAACTTGTCTGTGGATGACAAGACATGTGCATTCTGTCATGTTCATTTCCTCAGCTCTTGCTCCACAAGGCAATGCCCAGTCAAACTTGTGCACAAGATTTGCCAACAAAAGCTCAATAGTGGTCATGGCAAACATTTGGCCTGGACAGCCCCTCCTGCCAGCTCTAAATGGGATTAACTGGAAGTCATGCCCTTTGAAATCCACAGCAGAGTTCAAGAACCTCTCCGGTTCATCCCACAGTGAGGGATCTCTTCCAATTGTCCAGGCATTGACAAGGACCATGGTTCTTGATGCTATGTCATAGCCCTTTATCTTCACATCTTTGGTTGATTCTCGGGGAGCCAGTAAGGGTATTGGAGGATATAGCCGAAGCATCTCCTTGATCACTGCTTTTAAGTAATGCATTTGATCTAAGTCAATTTCTGCTATGTCTGGTTTGCTATTGCCAATTCCCATAATCTCATTTTGAACTTTTTTCAACACTCTGGGATGCCTTAAGAGTCGGGTCATTACCCACTCTAGAACTGTGTTTAGTTGTATCAGTTCCACCAGCAAACATATCCTGCAAGAAAAGAAAGCAGGAAAGACAAGCTTCATTCAATTGTGCAGGATTGTTCATTTAATAAAAAAATTAGTCTGGACTTAACATTTGAATGAATTATCCACTCTGATATTGCAAAGAATCAAACCTAGAATGATTTAATGGTTGTGCAATGAATTTGAAATGCAAGGCTCAGAATACAAAGACTTAGGATTTGTCAGGGCAATGTTAAATTTTCATAAATCACTAATATCATATCACAAATCACATCAGTAGTAAGTGAAGCAAACAACTCACTCAAATTCACAGGCAATGACAACAAACAAGAGTGCTTCACAATCTCAACCAGCAAGCCCAGCTCTTCTTCTCTAAAACCTCTAAAAGACTGAACCCTTTTGTTACTGGCTGAAGCACACAGATGCTTCTCATTCTTCTCCAATGCTCACCATAAGGAGCTGTAGACACATCTTTCCCTTCATAGAGAAGCCTATCAGAAATTGCCAACTTGGGTCTGTTGGAGAAAATTGTATAATTTGTTTTCATGATCTCACAAGCTGCATCCCCAGACGCAACTATGAGCACTGGTCTGTTGCCATGATGAAGCAGCATTAGCTCACCATGGCGCTTAGCTAGCTGTTGCAGGGATCGGTGAGGGTGCATGTCCAATTGGTGGAGGTTGCCTAGTATGGGGAGCCTTGGGGGAGAAGGAGGCAGGTTTTTGTGGGGGTGTTCTTGTTGTACTGTAAATCCATTTGATGAGCAAGATTGTGAAGAAGATGAAGAGAAGAGCAAATGCAAATACTGGATTCAACATTGCCACCACTGTGCATACTGAATTGGAAACCCAGAGGACTCTGTGGAAATGGGTTCTGAGTAGTGTTCTTTATTTTGTTGTCATGCACCTTTCTGATTGAAACGCGTGTGGAAGTGGAACTACTCCACTCCTTTTCTATTTGCGAAAACCTTTACCAAATGCAGAAGACAACGTTTGACCAAAAAAACCATATGTAGAAGACGACAAGGAATTTATAAGAATCTTTTTTCAAAATCTTTGATTAAAGGTGACTTAAAACTTGTCATTGATGGTCTTATTAGACAAACTTTGATAATTTTGTATAAGCTATTTGAGTTATAGCTGGAGCAATCAGAAAATGGACTTAAATACAACCCGATTGCTGTTGGATTGAGGCTCCAAAACAATCTATCAGATGGTAATGATACAAAGGTAAAAGACTAAAAGTTAATGAGGAAATCCAAAATCAAATTTTGAATTTTGGGTTTGGGGTTGCCCACCTCAGTGCAGGTTAAGAATACTGACTGCATTTGTACTGAACTCTATATCTCATGCCCAAAGAAAAAAAAGAAAAATCTAAAGCACCAGTGAAATTCAACATCTTCCTTTCGAGACATTATGCCATAAACTAGTTTAATCAAACTTGTCTCATTTAAGAACAACACAAGTAAGAGTACATTAAACTAACAATGTCAACAATATCATATCCTTCATGTAAATCTCTGGTTTTTTTGTTAACAAAATTTCATAACTTTGTAGCCTTAGACATAAACACCCGATGCGAGCAGTAAGAACAAGGATCCGAAACCCTGCACACCAAAGAGAACAATTAGACTCTTAGCAAACAGAAAAAAAATTGAGCAATCTATTATTGTATCAGTAGATAATAGAGGATTCTGTCTACAAACGCACCAAGAAGACAGAGGCCACTGTTCCTGTTATAAGCTCCTTAGCAAGACTGCGGCTTTTCCTAGAAATGGTCGCTTCATAGCTACAAAAGATATTCACACCACCATTAACTACTACTATATTCAGAAGATGATGGGGGTACGCTTAATACAAAACTCAACGGACCTAATTACATAAAGAACCAAAGATGATGCTAGGCCAATGGCTTGTAACAATAATCGATCGTGCTAAACATTTGCTCACTTCAATTAGTCAAGATGAAACAAGAGGGTTTAACAGTGCGCAGAGACTTTCCAGGCTGCTAACTCATCCAAGAATCATATGAGAAAAAGGTTTCCGAACTATCGCAAACTATTACAATTTACAACCTAAAGCTAGTACCCTGCCTGCATTGTTCTTCACAAATCCAAAACTTTTAAACTAAATATATAATAATATACCCTTCTTTAATCTTCAATTGGTTATTAAGCAATGTTTCAGTCTTTCAGATTCCTATCCTGGCTTTTAATCAGACTATCTTTTCATTATAACGACTACAATTTCAATTTGCATTTCATTTATTGGGATATAAAGCAGTAAACTTTATTCCTTTCGTTCTTTCAATTTCCTCCAGTTCATGTTTTAGACTCTGAGTTGAAGGCTAAATCAGTTTGTTATTTATGTTTGTGAGATTTCTGCAAACCCTGGTTCCAATTCTACATAGTAAATATGAATTGTAACAAATGCACTCTCAATAGGCTCAACAAAATACACAATTTTTATGTTTGGCTGCTGAGAAAAGCACAATCAAAGGATATAAACTGCAACCAGAAATGAAATTCGCATTCTTTTTTGCGTTGAAAAGATTATCAGATCATTAATTGTGCAGAGAAAAACACAAATTGCAGGCTCGAATGTTCCAATATGAAAACAAGATCTATACAGAAAATCAGAGAAAATTGGAAAAGGATCTAGCTATGGGGGATCGGACTCACATGAAGAAGGAAGCGGTGAAGATGAGGCCGATGGCGAGCATCACGACGGCGAGGGTCGGATACCACGTGACCGCCACGGGACTGGCAATTGGCTTCGGAGCCTTGAGAACCCAAAAAACAAAAAATTGAAAACATCATAAGCAAAATCAGTGAAACAGAGAAATGAAAGAGAAGTGTTTTTCGAGCGTTTGACTTACCATGACAGTTGGAGGTGAAGAAGAGAGAGAATTGGAAGCAGTTGTTGAAAGCTTGGTCTTTGATCTGTTCAGATCGAAGCAGAGAGCAGAGTTAGGCGAGTGAGAGAGAGGGCCTTCTCTCTCAGTCTATTTGACCCAGGAGACTAGAATCTGCTGGGTCTTCGGTACCAATCTTGTGGCTTTGGCAGGGTTTGGCTCAATCAGGACCGTTGATCTGTTAAAAAACACGACATGTCGTTTAGTGATTTTGGTCATCACCATTTTCCAACTTTTTAAATTTGTTCCAAATTTATATTCATCAACATAAAAACACAGAATTTTTCATCAACTAATTTAAATATAAGTTTTGGTATATATATATACAAAAAAGGGAAGAGATGCATATTATAGATTCATTTTATGGCACAAATTGTTCTATACATTTTGGTAACAAGAGCATCCTTGATCTGAACACACAATTTATCACTGAATTTACAAAAAAAGAAAAGATTTCTAGTAGCCTCTGTCCAAAATTTTTGATCTTCAACTCTGACAATTCAGTAGCTCCTGTTACCATTTTGATGCGTTTATTGAGGTTGATCCAAATTGCATTTCCATTCAGCACAAGTGCACAACTTGCTTTATATCTCAGTTCCCATACTCTGCAGGACATTCTTGAATTCTTGCCTGCAGCAGTACATGAAGTGAATGCCTGCTTTTTTACATGGGAAATCTGAGATTGGATCAAACAAGTAACCCATCATCGTAAAACGTGTAACTTTGCAAGCATTCAATGAGATCCTTGCCATAACTTTAACATAAACCCGTGTTCACTCACGCTGCCCCTGGATGATCTCCTCAGTCTCTCCCAGAACTGCTTACTCCTTCCTGTTCCCAGAGGACCTGAACTGGAGTGCCTCCTAAAGGATTCAGAATCTTGCCTCCCCATGCTCATTGACGTACTGAACAGCTTCAACGGCGATCCTTCCCTCTCTGTCTCAAGCTCGGAATCATAGGTAAGTATGGAGTATTGGCTTTGGAAAGTATCTGGCAACTGTCCTGAGGCAGTGCTTGCTTCAGCAGCCACATCAATGGACAAATCGTCTCGGCTAGAACTCCTTGAACCTATTTCTTTTGCCTCATCAAACTCATTGCACACCAGTTTTAAGGCCTGAACAACTTCACCCATGAAAGGACGATGTGATACCTCCGGTTGTACGCACATTGAAGCAATAGCTGCCACTTTAGCAATACTGTCAAATGGGACATCACCTAGATTTGGATCTACCATTGCTTCCAACCCTTCTTTACTTGTGAGGAGTGGCCGGGCCCATGCAACTAAGTTTTCTTCACCAGGTGGCTGTGACATGTCCACTGGTTTTCTTCCAGTTAAGAGTTCAAGAAGTACAACACCGTAGCTGTATACATCACTTTTGACAAGAAGATGCCCAGTCATTGCATATTCTGGAGCCACATACCTGAATATTATCATTAGGAATTTAAAGATGTCAGAACCTGCCAAAGGCAGCACGGCGACATAATAGAGATGTTAAAAAAGTCTCCTCTAGGTCACAGGATATAGCATGCAATGGTGGTTAGTCAACAAAGGATGATCTAGAGGAACTGGAATACTTAATAGAGGCAAGAAAACATCTCATACCCAAAAGTTCCCATGACCCTGGTTGATATGTGTCTATTTTCCTCATCCATGGCGGTCCGTGCCAAACCAAAGTCGGACACTTTTGGAGTAAAATCATCTTCCAACAAAATATTGCTGGCTTTGAAATCCCTGTGTATGACACGGGGACTGGAATCCTCATGTAGATATGCCAGACCCCGAGCAGCACCAAGTGCTATCTTCATGCGGTGCGCCCAATTAAGTGGAGCAGTGTCCTTGTCAATTCCTAAGATCAAGCAAAATTGACAGAAGCATAGGTATGTCAAAAAGAATCCTTCAACATTAAAAAAGTTCATTAAGAATGGAACAATTATGAACAGCAATCAATAAAATCAGAACTAAGCCTAAACAAACAGACAAAAAGCTACCATGCAAATGAGATTCCACACTGCCATTAGGAATGAGCTCATAAACCAAGGAACGGCTATGCTCTTCTGTACATATGCCAATCAACTTGACCAAATTTCGATGATGAAGGCGACTAAGCATCTCAACTTCAGCCAAAAACTCCCGACCACCCTGCTGATCATCTCTTTTTAGAACTTTGACAGCAATCTTGGTCTCATCTTCAAGAACACCACTATAAACACGCCCAAAGCCACCTTCCCCAAGTATTCTTGAAGGGTCAAAATTGTCAGTGGCTCTCTCAATGTCACTTGCACTAAAAGTATTAGCAGATCCTGTATATGTTGCAATGCTAGATCCAAATGATAACGACACGGAACTGTGCCTACTCATAGACCCAGCAGTACCTGCAAAATATATACATTATTTTCTATATTAGAAATGATAATGTAATCTAACCACTGGCTCATCTTAAAGATTATAGTCTGCTTAAGGAACCTGCAAGGCCATACAGACTGACCTGTGCACCCGAACTAATTTGATTCAATTTGCGGGATTCATATTACCTGATGGTTTGCCAACAGAAGGTAGCAAAGCCTGTGGAGTTGGTGTTGGTTCAGAAGCACAGTCTCCATGTTTGAACAGAAAAACCCAAGCAGCAGCAGAGCATAAAGCAACTGCTGCAAAGGTAGACAAAGCAATAATAGCAATTATCCCACCACTTAGCCCATTTTTATTCCTCTTCTTGTGCACATCAACCCCGAGGGGCTTTACCGTCCTTCCATTATTGTTGTTACCAGGATACGGTCCCTCATATATTACATCAACATCCGAAGACGGTGGAGATGGGGGTAAACCTATACATGTGTAGTTTCATGTAAAGATAAATGTTATTGATACAAATGCCTACGGTATGTATATGCATACGTATTGTATACTGTACCTGGATAGCGCACATATAGTACATCATAGTCACCAAAGTAGGATGCTTTTATAACAACTTGTTTATGCCAAAATCTCTGGGAAGTCAAAAATGCTGTGGTGTTATCAAATTTTTCTCCCAGGGGAACCAAGTCAATGAGGGCTACTGTCTTCTCTGGTTGCTGGGTAGCTGCATTGGCTCCAATAATGCGAACCTGACTTTGCTGCATAAAAACCCCGACAGCAATTTCCTGGGCTAGCTCTGAAACCAAGGGGAAGAAGGTATACAGAGCAACACTAAGTCGTAGTCCAACTTGCAAAGGCAAGACACAGCCACAAGGTGACCCAGGAGGGGTATTTGTATAGGGATCTGTGCAAATAGTTGATGAACAATCTACAAAAAGGAAGAACCTCTGCATTACATTTTAGTTTGAACTTTCAAGAAGAATATCGTAGGACTAACAAAGAGAGGAGAGACACCAGTAAACCGGTAAATAAATATTTTAGCTTAAATACCTTCATTGGGAGGTGGTGGTGGGAATGCTCGAACAAGTGGCAGGGGTGGCACTTCTGGGCTTTTTGCCGTAGACCCCGATGGAGAAAGCTTAGGGGGCACTTAAGATTGTAAACATATAACTATCAGGTAAGCTATTTAGTAGACAATAAGATAAATGAGTAAGTTCAGCAATAAAACAGAGAACCAGAGGCAAGAGCATTTCCTACTTTTGGTATAGTGAGGTGCATCTTTTAAAGACGGAGAAGGAGCAGGGGCAACATGGCTTAATGACGGAGTGACAGGTAAATGAGATGGAGGAACTGAAGACCCTGACATGTAGAAACTGTGTCAGCATTGAAAAGTCAGGTTTAATGTTGGGACCAAACAAAACAAAAATTCAATCCTTTGGTACCTGGATTTAGGGGTGGAGAACCATAGTGTCTTTGCCTGCCTGTTTGATGCGATGCTGGTGGGATCACTGGACCTGTATAAAGTATTGAAATGATAATTTAATAATGAAAAAGAACATGACAAGCCACAGAATAAATTTTTTATCTATGTGATTCAGGCGCATGTAGTTCAGGTGAAACATTAAACCTGGCTGTTTTGAAGTGGAAGGAGAAACCAGATACGATGGTGTAAGAGCAGGACTGGTGACTTTGTTCCTCGCATGATGATTCTTATATGTTGAAGGTGAAGATGCAGGAGAACTATGCCCCTTATCAAAAGGAGGTTCAGGGGATGAATCAGACGGTGCAGGAGCAAGCTTATAATGTCTCACGGGTTTGTGGACAGCAGGAGCTACATCAGAAACAGAACCTAGAGTTATAAACTTGACAACACAAACTTTCAAGTAGCAACTAATATGAAACATATAATTTTTTTAATACCTTTAGCTGGGGTATGGCCCATGGGTATTGCCGGCTTGGGAGCTTCATATGATGGTGCAACAACTGGTATTCGACCCCTTTTCCAGTTGGTGCTGGAGGGAGGAGATGATACCACAGGTTTGTGAACAGAAGGAGCTACAGCAGAAAACATAACCTAGAATTAGAAGGTTGACAGCTCAAACTCCCATATAGAAACCAAAAGATATGCAACATTTTTCTATACCTTTAGCTGGGGTATGGTCCATGGGTAGTGAAGGCTTGGGAGCTTCATATGGTGGTGCAACAACTGGATTCCTTTTCCAGTTGATGCTGGGGGGAGTCGATGATGCAGGAGAGACTTCAGGATCTGCAACCTCATATTAGGGAAGGTCAATTATTACAATGGTTAGAATATAATTGTTGAAAACTTCAGCGGTATCGTAATTTAAGACCAAAAAGAACACTGATTTTCTGTAATCTCATATTCGGGCCAGTGAATATACAAATTGTTAGTTATTCAAATGACAGGAATGATCAAACACACTCAGTGGCACGTTTTCACAAACGGCCAAATCACGAATAATGCTATTGAAATTAAATTTGGATAAGAAGTCTAAAGGTTCAAGGTTAACTGCTAAAAGGACAACAATTCAATGAAGGTATTAAACTGATTCAACTGGGTATCACAATGTGAACATTAAAACTATAGTTTTCTACTATGCTCTTTCTGAAGTAGTACCAGGAAATGTGGATGGAGATTCTCCAGGTGTAACTGGGTGAATGGACGGCGAGTTTTGTGGCGATTTGCTTGTTGGTGAAGCAACTGGTACTGCATTTTCAGAGAAAAGAACAAATGGATCAATTTAACTAGTTTCTATAATATAAAGATTATATGTGACATTTTTTCAAAAAGAAAAAGAAAAAAAGGAACAAGGCGCACCAGGTAATATAGGTGGTACTATATTCGGTGTGCTCGGATGCATCACAGGTGGATTTGGTCCCAATGTCCTCGGCAATGATGAAACAGGTGCTGTATTTTTGCAAAAAAAAAAAATGTAAAATACTGATTATAACCAGTATCTGAGATCTATTAATGTCATAACAAAATACTACATCTACCTGGAGCAAGTGGCTCTGGTATGGGAACCTTATTGTTTGGCGCATGTCTTTGATGAGCACTTAATGGTGATGTGTCTGGTGTACTTGAATGGATGGCTGGTGAAATTTGTGGCAATGTCCCCGAAGGTGTTACAATGGGTACTGTATAATACAATACAACAAATATTTGGTTGGAACCAATTCAATCGAAATTCATCATAGAAATAGCCCTGGGGGTTTATCTACCTGGAGCAACTGGCACTGAGATTGGACTCTTATTGACTGGTGCCTTTGTTTGAGGAGTAGGTGGCACAGATGGTACATGACCTTCCACACTCAGTGGTGGAGGAGCATTATTTGGTGGCACAGACGGTACATGACCTTCAACACTTGGTGGTGGAGGAGCATTATTTGGTGGCACAGGCGGTACATGACCTTCAACTCTTGGTGGTGGAGGAGCATTATTTGGTGGCACAGACGGGACATGACCTTCAACACTTGGCGGTGGAGGAGCATTATTTGGTGGCACAGACGGGACATGACCTTCAACACTTGGCGGTGGAGGAGCATTATTTGGTGGCACAGGCGGTACATGACCTTCAACATTATTTGGTGGCACAGACGGGACATGACCTTCAACACTTGGTGGTGGAGGAGCATTATTTGGTGGCACAGGCGGTACATGACCTGCACTTGGTGGTGGAGGAGCATTATTTGGTGGCACAGACGGGACATGACCTGCACTTGGTGGTGGAGGAGCATTATTTGGTGGCACAGAAGGGACATGACCTTCAACACTTAGTGGTGGTGGAGCATTATTTGGTGGCACAGGCGGTACATGACCTTCAACACTTCGTGGAGGAGCATTATTTGGTGGCACAGGCGGTACATGACCTGCACTTGGTGGTGGAGGAGCATTATTTGGTGGCACAGGCGGTACATGACCTGCACTTGGTGGTGGAGGAGCATTATTTGGTGGCACAGGCGGTACATGACCTGCACTTGGTGGTGGAGGAGCATTATTTGGTGGCACAGGCGGTACATGACCTGCACTTGGTGGTGGAGGAGCATTATTTGGTGGCACAGGCGGTACATGACCTGCACTTGGTGGTGGAGGAGCATTATTTGGTGGCACAGGCGGTATATGACCTTCAACACTTGGTGATGGAGGAGCATTATTTGGTGGCACAGGCGGTATATGACCTTCAACACTTGGTGATGGAGGAGCATTATTTGGTGGCACAGGCGGTATATGACCTTCAACACTTGGTGATGGAGGAGCATTATTTGGTGGCACAGGCGGTATATGACCTTCAACACTTGGTGATGGAGGAGCATTATTTGGTGGCACAGGCGGTATATGACCTTCAACACTTGGTGATGGAGGAGCATTATTTGGTGGCACAGGCGGTATATGACCTTCAACACTTGGTGATGGAGGAGCATTATTTGGTGGCACAGGCGGTATATGACCTTCAACACTTGGTGATGGAGGAGCATTATTTGGTGGCATAGGCGGTACATGACCTTCAACACTTGGTGATGGAGGAGCATTATTTGGTGGCATAGGCGGTACATGACCTTCAACACTTCGCGGAGGAGGAGCATTATTTGGCGGCACAGACGGGACATGACCTTCAACACTTGGTGGTGAAGGAGCGTTATTTGGTGGCACAGGAGGTATATGACCTTCAACACTTGGTGGTGGAGGAGCATTATTTGGTGGCACAGACGGTACATGACCTTCAACACTTAGTGGTGGAGGAGCTGCATCATCTGGTGGCAGCACTTCAGGAATACTTGGTGACAAGGATGGTACTTGTCCCTTGATCTTTTGGGGCACCGGGGCAGACATAAGAGGTGGCATCGCAGGCGGAGGGTACAAATCTGACCCTAGATTGTCAAATTAAGAGCTTAAGCAGATGTCTAAACTTCTAAATCTACAACAGCAGAGTTATGGGACTTACCATTTGGCTGTAATGCGGGGATTGGTACATTGCTTGTGAATGACTTTCTGTGAGAGAGAGGAGCAGGTGCTGTTTCAATAGGAGGATTCACAGAGAGAGGTTCTGGTGATGGTGATAGATTTAACCCTGAGAGAAGGTGAAGGCCGGTGCTTAAAAGAAGAAAACTAAAGCAAGCTATGAAAATGTGATATCTTAAATCCCTTTTATATTACCATTCTTGTTATGGAACAATATATACTTTATAGTTACGAGGCATTTCATCAGATGAAACCTCAATGGTAAGGCATTTCCCAGATCTAGATGAAACCTGAACTAAAATAGAAGTTGCTAAATGACCGTGCTTCTTGGGACATTGTAACTTCGAAAACAGAATATTACAATTCCAGGCCATCAGTATGCACTAGATGGCCCACTAGCTGTGAGCTCTAGTCTAAAATTATACTCAGGCAGAATTTGAAAACAATTCAATAAGATGAGAACATGTTCAGATCGAAGAAGATGCCAAAGTTCGAATCATTTGATCACTTTTCTAATATACTTCATATATCTATCAGAACAGAACATATATGTGAATACAGCATTTAATCACAATCGTGTGCACCACATTATTGGGCTTATAAACAACAATAGCGACATGAAAATTCAGAAACCCAGATCACTAACAATGCTGCTAAAGCACAAAAGCTTCAAAATCCATATGAAAGTTAACAACTTAATCCAACAGTTCTAATAATGCTTATATGACTAAGATTTGTAAAGGTTAAAATTTACCTGCAGATCCTTGGAGAGCTAAAGCAAAGCCAATGACACAGAGATTAACCAGCTGGAAAATGGCTGGCATCACCACCCCCATCCCATAAACAGTTCTAAAAATTTTAGACTCTACCCCAGCCTCCTCAAGGATGAAGAAGAGATTAGAGACCAATAAAATAATAATAAAATGAATAAATTAATCTCTATACTATGAGTTGTAACTTGAAGCAAGATGTAAAGGGAGATTAAATTAAAAAAGTCTCACAAGTAGTGAGAGCAAAGCAATGAGAAGGCAGCTTATGGAAAGACCCAGAATTGGGTTTGGTGAAAATAGCTAAGGGAACTAATCCTCTAGCTTTCTGGGAACTAAAGCTCTGAAATTTGCAGAGCTTTGGGGTGTCCATGAAAGACAGAACCTTTCCAGCAGACATGAGTAACAAAACACAACTGGAAATTAAGAAATGAACCAGAAAAACAAATTTTTATTTTAATATACACCCAACAAACTTACAGTGCTAAAGTAACAAACTTTGTAAGAAGAGAGATGTACTTGAGTGGGGTAGAGAGAGAGAGAGAGAGAGGCTGGCAGAGATTCTTGGCTAATATTTAAATTTATGTTTAACGGGGAATGAACTTGGGGTTGAAATTCTTGGGTTTTTGTTTTTAATGGTTTTTACTTGACTCTCATTTTCTTCTCGGTTAGCATTTGTTCTTGTAAAGATTAAGCCTTTTAGATGTGGTGTGTCAAAATCAGGGTTTGACACATCACCGTCCCTCCATGATCTGGATAATTCAACCTTTTTTTAATACAAGCTTTATATATTAAATACTCTGTATTATATTCTACTACTGTATGGTTTGGCAATCAGCATCCTCATAAGATAGAAAGTAATTTTCTTTTTGGTTGAGAGACGTTTGATGGATTGAAGTAGAAGCCTTTCTTCTTCATCTTTTTCTTTGGGTGGGCTAGAAAGTAAAAGGAAATAAAGATGGCCAAGCAGTTTTGTTAGTTGCATATAATTATCCAATCTTTTAGCAATTTTAGATTTTAGACTTTGAAAATGAAAAACTTAAAGAAAGAAACCACCTTTTTTGTTCCTGCTGAATTTTATATCTTACAACAATTGCCCAATCCATTCCTAACATATGCTGCAATTATGAATGAGAAGCCATCTCTTCCCTCTCAAAAGGGTTGAAATGAGCGTCGACTTATGGGGTCCATACTCTTAATGCAGACCCCCCAAACTACCTTTGTAGACTTCAGAGGAAGATGATGATTCTAACATTATGTCTCTTCTTAAATGGCTGACTCAATTACTTTGTTAAAAAAGTAACTTAAATTACTTTAAATTAAAATCGAACTTAGGTGCACGGGGACGGACTCAGTGCCCTACCCAACTGGCATTTAACTTACGTTTACAATAATTTTAATTCTTGTGATGAAATTAGAAAAAGAAAATGAGCCACATAATAAACACGTTGCTATGAATGGAGCCCACCCTGATGGTGGTGGCGGTTCACTTGTTTGTCCATAGCTGAAGCAGATTATGGCTCGTGGGTTCCCTACCTATCAAACTCTGTGGACTATGGTGGTTCTGTTGTGTTTGGGTTGTGCGGTGCAATCCCATGACGAATTTTGACAGTGACAATGGTGATGATGATTATGATGATAGTGTATTTGTGATGATGCACACTTTTCAGAAAATTTGCATCTAAACAAGCCGACAACCTATCTAAGCACACGTATGTTTAGGCTTCAACACGTACCAATAATTTATAACTCATTTTAATGGCCTACAAAGTTGTTTCTCATCCGCATAAAAAATAAAGTGTAGTTTTTCTTCAAGATCAAATTAGATAATAGTCCAAAATAACATGTGATAATATCTCTGTCGGTGAGTCTGTGACTCATGCAGAAATTTGAATGGTTAAACTATTACGATTAAATTGGACGGTGGTCAGAAAATGGAAAAGGCCTAAAAGTAGGCACACCTTGCCTAAACTGTTGGACGCACAAATTCAGTCGCTAAAATATACTTCAACTTCAACTTGTTCTATTGGGTTGAATATGCTTTTTTTTCTTTCTTTTTTTTAAATTTTTGTTGATATAAAGCGATATTAGAGGAGGGAAATTTGAACCTATGACATAGGATATAAGAATAAATGCTATTAATCACTTGAGTTAGAAGTCCTTTGAAATTAAATATGCATTTTAACTTGAAAACTATTGACTTTGCGATCAACTATAAGTCCATCTCCAAGGATTTATCAGAAAACGAACAATTTGTGGAAATCATTACCGTTTTTGAATGCATCAACATGGCTTTTAATCAGACAAGTAAAATAGCATGTGTGATGTAGACAAAGACACTGAACTTCCCACCCCACATGAAAGATAATAATAACAGTGGGTTTTGTTTTTGTTGGGATCTCTCTTGCTTTTTCACTTCACGGACTAGAACACGTCTGAAACTATGAGCCCCACATAACATCATCAAAAACTCAAAATTGGGTTTCATTATATCGCAATGATTTCTCTTCTCATGTAGAGTTGCAAAGCAACTGCCCTTGTGATCCAATAGTTTTCTTGTCTCTCACTCCATCTGTGTTCGAGTGATGGCCTGTGCTATATTTTCACGACCTAAAAAGAAAAAGGCAACGCAACTGTTTCACCATAAAGCTTTCTTTGTATATCCATCAAAACAGAGGCTTCTAGGTGAAGCCCTTTTCTTTTTCTTTTTCTTTTTCTTATTTTCCCAACGAAGATTTACAAGCAAGATATTTGAGGAGGGGGAACTCGAACACAGAATCTTACAATTCAGTTTCACTTATGCCATAAGAAGATTGGCACTTTGGGACCATCCTAGTATAGCTTATTCTTTCACTTATGCCATAAGAAGATTGGCACTTTGGGACCATCCTAGTATAGCTTATTCTTTAGTTTTAGTTAACGGGGGCATTTGATTTCTTTGTTTCTTTGGCAGGCTACTTTTTTTTTTATTATTTATTTAAAATACCACGAGATGTCTCCACATCCGAAGAATTGGATTATTGACTTGCCCTTGATCACAAAGTGCTTCCAATGAATTTTGAACCCCTACTATTGAGGCACTAGGTAACTCGCCAACTAGAGGTGGCAGTTTGTGGATTTTGAACCCCTACCATTGAGGCACTAGGTAACTCGCCAACTAGAGGTGGCAGTTTGTCAACCGCACCAACCCTTGTGGTTTGCACGCTACATCTTTGCTAAGGCTGAAAAGAATTATTCTTGCTATGAATATTCCTTGCCCACTCCGGTAGGCAGGCTCCTAAGTCCTACCTAACCAAAGTCTCTCAACAAGCTCTTTAATGGCAAACATAGACTTGTAATTTTCTGGCCCCTGAGAGTGTGACACTTGCCCCTACTATTAGAGGCTAGGACCACAATAGAGCTGACTTTTTTGGTCATTTCAGAAGTTTCTGGTTATCAGGATTATATTTCTAAGTAAAAAAATCATTGAAATGAAAAGGAGCATAATCAATTATTAGATGCCTAATTTTATTCTTGATCGCATTCCGGAAGATGTTGGCCACAGCTTTCTCAGCTTGCTTCATTCATTCCACATGCAATCAACCAAAAAGGAAGAAAGAAATGCCTCTTGGCTTCAAGCTTCAAAATGGAATTCAATTATTATTATTGAGTCTCAACTGCCACAAAACTGAAAAGAGCTTATAGTTAAAGTATTATATAATATGCTTGACACCGACGCCATGCGACAGAGTGAAGATAGCAGAAAATTAGAAGCCCGGGTGTAGAAACATAACAGACATCTCAATTCCAAATGCGAAAATATTATACGATATGAGAGAACATAGAAAAGAAAATAGGCATCAATCAGCACTTGGGTTAAACTTACTGGACTCGTTCTCATCCTTGAACACTCTGTGAAAATTGCAATAGCCAATAAGTATTCAGTTGGTGCACTAAGGCCACCTCTTGATCTCACTTGTTGCAACGAGAATGAACCGTCGACAAGTTGTTCAGTAAGCATTAGAGAACATCTGAGATTCGTTGTCAAAATTGAGCAACCCTGAAGTGACAAAACGATGACATACATTGAGCAATCTTGGCTTTGGTTCTCAAAATTGGTAAGAATATGGATGCTAATGACTACAGAGGTTGGTGGACGTCACCAGTAGACAAAGAAATTGCAAAGGACATTCGAGATATCACATCACATCACAAATTTAGGACTCTCAGTCCTTCTTCCTTTCGAGAAAAATTACTTATTTGGATCAAATTCTTCAAATCCACTCTTGAAATCTCCTGCCATCTTTGCTTCCTCTTCTTTGCTATCTGTACAATTCCTCCAATCAGCCCTGTCGGCCTTGTTCAACAAACCTGCTATAACCTACAATATATTTCATTTGCCATTGGATTTCAACCTTCTGAATGTCAGGAAAGGAATTGTCAGATTACAAACTACCAGTAGAACTTTTGATCTTACCTCGCGCCCAAATTGGGGTAGGAATCTCTCATTCTCCTCAATGGAATGAGATAAGATTGTACCATCAGCGAGCTGAACATAGAAGAAACTTAAATTTCTGTCAAATTGTGTCCTTAACATTGTCCTCCCATCAGAATTGTTACCAGCTGTAACGAAGGGAAGCATCAGTTAAAGATGCAGTACAGGCCAAAAAGAACAAAAATTTTAAGATGTAGTAGAAGCTAAGGAATATCAGAAGTTTGACATGAACACAAAGCATAATCAAAGATCCTAGCCAATGCATGCAACAAATGTGTACTATTATTTTACATTTCGTAGTCTCAAACTTGAAGCCCAACTTTTCTGCAGCTAAGTTAAATATATTTTGAACAGCAGCTGATTTGGCTGATGGAACAGGAACAGCCTATACAAAAGAACAAGTGGGGTAAGGAATTCATTCATGAAACTTCATATATAAACATTTGCAACACAGATCCTTACCTGAAGATTAGCATGAGTTGTACGTTTCGAAGCCCACTCAAAGAAAACAACATCCTTCCCTTGTTTCTTATAATACTCCTTTAGAGCATCCTGGAATTTACCAAGCTCAATTTCGCATTCTGAGGGTAAAGAAAGGGTGTTGGGTGAATGGCCTATAGGAATTAGCAATACGTGGTCTTCAACAAGTGGACCTTTAGCAAGGGCGCAATAGTAATGCTCCCCTATGCTGATAATTAGATGTGATTCTACTTTGGGGCTTGACAAACAAAACCAGCACTCTGTTGACCTGCATGTGAGATCAAACTCAATGTTACAACAAAAACAAATAACATCTTGAACCCCTCTCATTGGCCTGCTCAATAGGCATCAAAAAGGTGTTATTCAGAGTCAGACCTGTTACTGTTGGCATTTCCAGATCCACGTCTCTGGTGAGAATTGCTCTCACCTTCAGCCTGTAAGCTGTGCTTAAATTTGCAATCTGGACCCCTTTCACATTTTCCTTTGTTCATAAAATCGAAACAAACACCTCTCAAAGATTGTTCTCTTGCATCTACATCATGCTGAAAGTTGCAATTTTCCCCTCGAGGACAAGAGCCAGAGGATACAAACTTAAAACACAGCCTATTACCATCTCCAGCTCCATGTTTCTGCCTTTTTTGGTTGACATCATATCTCCAGTACTGTGAATCAGAAATGCTATCGCTAGATCTCTTTCCAGCTTCTGTTGCATGATCT